ATAATGACATGCGTCAGTTTTACTCATCCAATTACCACCAGTGCTTGCCTTTTATAGGACCACTGTTTGACCTATTAAAAACAGAAACGTTTGAACATCTCCTTTGCTTCCACCCTTAGCCCCACCCACGAATGCCACCCCTCACTGCCATCAGTGTAACAATGATTCGATGAACTCTTTTCTCGGCTGGCAGTACCTTGGGCAGTATATCAAGGCGGCAGGCATTGGTCAATCTAATTTAACACCTCTGGCTTCTGGCTACCCAGGAAAGTTTCCGTAGTAGCTCGTTACTCCAGCACTCTCACGGGCAGTCGTGAGATTTCACACCCACACTACACTGACCATCTGCAACGCACAGGGCTCACATGGTGGGGTCACATCTACCCCCAAATTGCACCCATACTCCTCTTCCTCGCCCAGCGGCCTGACCATAGCGCTAAGTTTAGAGCTGACGGAACCAAATTTGCGAGTTTTGTTTCAAGTCAGGGCTGAGCGGGCAAAGCATTTTCCGTCTTAGACAGGTGAAACCCTCGGAAGGGAGCGGATTTTTCTTTCCGTTTCTGCGTTGGACAGGTTTCCGTTTTTTATACAGGTAATTAAAGAGGAATATATCAAGGGGGGAGCGGGGAGATTCCGTTAAGACAGGTTTCCGTTTTATACAGTTTTCCGTTAAGGAAGATTCGACTGCTTAATTAGCCAGATTCCGTTAAGACAGGTTTCCGTTTTATACAGTTTTCCGTTAAGGAAGATTCGACTGCTTAATTAGCCAAGATATAAGCTTGGTTCGAGTACTTGATCATTCGTTTCACACAAGAATCAGTTCCAATAAATAAGTTAGAATTTGATTGTATGACGTCAAACTGACATAGATAGACTAAGATAGATTGATACATATTCGGCACTTTATAATGATCTATTGTGTTGCAAGTGCCGCAATTGTCTTTCTAAATTATAAAGATCCGACAGTGGCAGAGAGATAGAGTTGAAAGACTAAACACGGACGAACGCCGAAATAGACAGACAAACCGTCTATCATGCATCCATGCAGCAGAGCAATTCGCTGACATACACGTATGGACACTATGAGACCGTAAGTCCGAGGCCAGCAACGGTTGTATTCAATTTTCATTATTTGTGTAATTTTCTGAATGGCAAGATCTATGAAAGAATCAAAGAAGGAATTTTTCATTTTCATTTTTTAAAAAGAATTCGAAAAATATCGATCATCAGTCTTTTCCCCGCGAAAAGTGTGTGGGAAATCTAATATGGTCTGTATTTCCTTGACCCATAACGTTAAATATTGTCGACAGTACCATAACGAATAATAAAATACCGAAGCTGATAACAGAAAAGTCAGAAAATGACGATTGACCTTACGTAAAACTTTTCTCATAACGGATCAGGATGGTGCATTATTGAAACAGATTTTATAATTTGATTTTACTTAAAACAGTACTTCTTTATACTTAAACGACAGATATTCTTTTTTTACACAGTAAAAATTCATTAATTATTTCTTTATTGTCTAAAACAGACAATATAACACAAAATAAACAATTTTTGATACAATGAAAATGATTGACAGCTGATTGTCACTTCCGGCTAAGCAGAGTATAAATACCGAGCTTTTTATAGAGAAAGGTTATTTCCTTTGACGATATGGATCCTTCAATACCGACGAATCAAGGTAAGCGAAAGTAACAGTATGTCAATGCCAGTTTTGTTGGAATGACTCTTCAGTCCAGCCAAGATTAAGTGTGACTATTGACTAGATCTAGAACCACCAAGTCCAAAGTGCTCAAAGTGTCCAAGGACCAAGACCAAAGGCTAAATAAACAAGAGATATCAAAGAGAAATCGGTAGCCCTACATTGATCATTGATTATCATTCTCAATCATGTCATTGGATGTAGGCCATCATATAAAAGTCAATAGTCATAGATTCTAGATCTAGATTCTAGATCTATATCTAGATACATCTCATGTAGTAATAAAAGTATAGAGTCTAGGGTAGAGTAATTCCAGGCTGTATCTGATGGTACTGACTGTACTGTATGGGGAAGACTTGATTAGACTGCTACCAATTCCTATGTGGCCTATGGTCAATCTTTCAATCATTCAATGACAATGTCATATATATATATATATGATAGGCCTATCTAATGCTATGTACCCTATCCGTACGTCATGTTTTACTATTGTATTCATATGACGTTGGGAACTCTGTGCCATCACTTTCCAAAGCAGAAATGCACTCGTTAATCCGATCCGTTGGCTTACGCTTTGCATAGCAGTCTCTCAAAATGATTTTTTGAGAAATACTGAAAGTTTCAAAGAGATCTTCGCCATAGAAGTATTCTAGAATGTGAAGAAAATACAACTCTAGGGGTACAAAATGACCCCAGGGCGTACGGATTGGGTTAATATGTTATATATTATATATATATATATATATACCATGTAAGAAAATTTTCTGATTTTTTTGAAAAGGTAAATCAATGGTTAGCCTAGTAATTTATTGTCTAGAATCTAGACTTTTTAAAAAGAATATTTTTGAAGGAAAAAGTGTTGGTGCCTTGCCATGTTCCAAAATTGAGGTTCTTATACCCTGTTAAAGTGGTTCGGATTCGAATGGAACAGGTTATATAACTGGGAACTGGCTAGGTGTTAGACTCATTGAAAGTAATCGTGGACTCCTTCATAGAAATTTTCTGCTAGCTGGTAGTAATTGTCCAGGAATCGGACAACTGAAGTCGGAAGTACATATGTAAGCTTCATCATCATCTATGGGTTGGGACACCACAAGAAATAATTGACTACTGAGGAGAAATCACTAAAAAGTAAAATTTGGTTGGGCTAGGACTCTATTCTTGCAATTTTTGCTCTTAGAAACTGGAAACCACCACAAATGACTGTGGTGTGGTCCTATACTGTAGATCTTACAAGAAGTAGTTCTACATTCAGTAGGCCTACTGTGTGCAGTTACAGTAACTGCTATCCATCCATGGGTGTGTGATGTGATGTGTTCCTGTTTTCTCTGAGTCCACTGTCCACACACACCCTTCCCTCACCCACCGTCCACATTTTCCATTAAACCCCCCCCCCCCCTTAAAAAAAAACTAAAAAAAAAAACTAAGGATAATTGACAGGCCTACCTAGTATTATTTATTATATTATTATTAAATTATTATTAGTCAGATTAATGGGCCCATTATAATAAAACATTTATAAGTATTTACACTAATAAAAAGGAAGGCATTGGGTCCCAGAGAGACCTCTCTGACTACTTTCTATACAATGGTGTCTGCCTTTAGAAGAGCTACCACCCCTTGGGAAGCAGGTGTTGGTTGCTGTAAGATGGATGTGCTGCTAAAACCAAATTTTCAAAAAAAAAGGGGGGGGGGGGCCTGTAAACTTTGAAGCTGTGATTTTATACTGATTACTGAGACTGAGGGTGTAATTACTCAATTATACTCTAGGCCTTGTAGGGTCTGAAACACTCTTGAAATTTGTGTGAATTTTGCATTTAATTTCTGGACATGTCCCCCAATGTTTTTGTTTCATATAAATTCTCCAGTTGCTCTGGTGGAGTCCAACAGCACCCCAATGGGGATGCAGTTGGTCAGTTCGAAAAAGACGAACAAAGCTTCCGCAGCAACTGACATTGTGGAACTTGCAAAAGCCGTACAAAAGGTAATTTGGCTGCTTCATTGTTTGCCCCTCTGATGATCTGGACTAAATATAGTTTGGATTTAGTTTATATATACATATATAATATAAGTGTGTATGCTACTCAGGGTAGTATTGAAATATATATTATTTTTCTTAATTAACCAAATTTTGACAGTGACATAGAGTCTGACTGTTCAAAAGCTTTTTTCTTTGCGTGAAGATTTGTTGTATGAAGAAAGAACATTAATTTGTCATTTTTTTCAACAGAGGTTCAAGTTGAAAGAGATTTAATAAGATAAAAAAATAATATGTTCATATATGTCACTATCGTCAGACGTGTGTAAGATATCATGCGAAACTTTTGAAAATCATATGAAACCTTAACAGTGCTGTGAAGAATAGAAATGATATAACTAAGTATATTTTGTGTACTCCCATTTCCTTTAAAAATGTGGGAATTGTGAATTTGTTTAATAAAACTGACAGGGAAGGGGAATTCATGGAAATGTATCTTGGGACTCTGGAGTCAGGTTCTACTTTAACTATGGAAAATGGAATTTTTCGTTATCTTTTTTATTGAGTAACATGACCCAAATGTTCAGGGTCACTCTAAACTTCCACTGAAAATTTTGCCCCCTCTCTGATTTCACACCAATGCTCTGATAGCGCGGATTCAAACTGGGTCAGTGTCCTTATCAGTAGGTCACCTCTTTCTGAGCCCAAGCTAAGGGCATGCAAGTGTTTCATGTAACATTTCTCCCCCCATCCAGTTTGGAATGTCACCTTAAGGTGTTATTTAATGGGGGTGTATTATGTGATCCCATTTCTGCCTCTTTTTCTGTCTTATATTATATAAATTACAGGCCATGCACACATAGAAACTTTGTGGGTGTTTGCAGATGCCCTGTTGTGGTTTGCCTATTCTTTCCTATCGAAGATCTGTCGTCTTTATCTTTCCTCTTAAATTCATTGAAGAATGAAATTATTTTCTAATAACACTTGTATTTGTGTTGGAAGGGGCAAAAAACTCTTTCTATATTAAAAAAAACTCTGCTTATTGACTTACTCTTTGACTCTGATTTTAAAAAAATTTGGAACCTTAGTGTTAAGGTGAAGCATGTTGTCCCTTTTTTCTACTAAATAATGAACTCATTCAAAATCACATTTGAAACTGCAAATAAGGTATCAATAAGCAATAGCTGACATATTGAATGTTGCTCATGTTGAGAAGAGCCCGTTGTGTTATTGTTCCTCTTTTTTTTTCTTCAAATGTGTTCCTGTCTTGTCTATATTTTGATTTATCTTAAATATTATATATGTTTTGTTTGTAATTAGCTATTTGCTAGTTCATGACTGTTTTTGATAGAGTATATTATTTATTACTAATTAGTGTAATATGTGCTCTTTATCCCTGATAAAAAGAAACTTATTTTTCTCTTCATATATTTAGGCTGATGAATTCACAAAGGCAAATGCAGGCAATAAGTTGACAGTTATAGCAGACCAGATCCGATATCTTCAAACTCAAGCAAGAAAGGTAAGTCAAGACGAAGCATACAGTTGTACTAGAGATAAATTATACCTTTGACTCGTGAAACTTTCTCAAATGCGGATGCTGTTTTAATTCAAGATGTGTTACATAATAACTAAAGCTTCCTTCAATTTCTACTGTGTTTCCCTGAAAAAGGCTTAAGGTTTTTAAATTACAGTGGTGATAGATACTTTCTTCAACAGTTCTTCCCTTTTTGTCTCATATAGGGCTTCTGATAATGGGAAAGTTATTTTTTTTTAGCTCTTTGTTCAGAAGTTCTGATTATATAATTGATATTTCAGAGAATGACCTTCAAGACAGAAAAGATGAATTAAATAAAAGACTTTAAATGCATTGATTTTGTCGTTTCATGGAAACTACAACATTAAAACCGCTTTGTTTCTGACATGAGCACTGTTCCCCCATTTCCTGCCTAGTTTTATTATGCTACAAAAAAAAAAAGGCAGAAACTAGTGAAAAATATTTAGGAATTGTTAGGAAGTTTGAAACACTGAGTGACTTCCCCTTATAGATTATAGGTTAGTATTCACTATTCAGTGTCCTTTGAATGAAATGCGAGTAAGTTTGATGTGGATTGCAATTGAACTGTTTGTTTAGGACAAAATTCTTTCTTTATTTTAAACTTTTGAAGAATGTTATAGGCTTATGATGGTAGATTTAGATTCTGGTGTAGGTGAGTGTTAAATGGTAAAATTGTGACTGAGGAGGGTTTTTTCCTGGGGGGAGGGGCGAATGAAAGAGTGAAAGGTATTGAGTGTAGTTGGAGTAACACATAGTGAAGTTGGAAGCGGGTGTGATCTTAGATCTAGCTGTTTTCACAACAGAGACAGTATGGGGCGGAAGCTGAACAGAGTGCGGTGAAGAGATGGAGGAAGCAGTGACAGGGAAAATATACAGCACTTTTTGCAGTCATACTACTAATGCTATAGGCAATATAGAAAGTAAGTGGTAAAGCATTTTTCATACTAGTTCCTGAAATTCTGGCGAATTATTTTTGCATTATTATTCAAATGTCATGACAAGCGTTCAATAAAAATGCCTTATAAAGTTTAGTGGGGGCTCTTGTGGTCTAGAGGTGTGGTGTTCGCCTCTCATTCAATAGGTCCCCCATTCAAAAACTGACGGGGACAGAAAATTTTCATCTCTAAGATTTTCTCCTTTCGCCTCCTTTCCTGCTCTCTAACCATGTTCTGTCCTCTGCTTTCATCTTAACTGTGGTGACCAGATCCAATGCAATTATTGTGTGGCTGCGTGCTTTAACCACTAACAAAATCTCCTAGAAATTAATGTGAGAGTGGTTGTCTTTTTGGGAGAGTACAGTTAAAGTCGTCTGAGATGGCCACCCATTATCGAGGAGAAAAGTGGCTGAAAAAATACGTATGGTTGTCATGTACATATTTTCTTTTAGAATTTCCAAAAGACTTGTTGCTGCTTGAAAAAATTTCTTTCAAGATCACAGCATGTATAGTGTTATGCAAATTTTTGATAACTTATGTTTAGGCCTAAAGTATTTTCATTGAATTCAACTTGTTCTGGATGGGCTCACATTCGCTACATCTGACTTTGCTTTATTTTTATTTCTATAAGGCCGAAACAAAAAATAAGCAAACTTCAAGAAGAAAGAATTAGTACGGCAACTGGCAACTTTGTGTGTAGGAAAATGCATCTGTACTAAAGAGATGTTGCTGTATACAAGAGGACCATAGAATTATTAGAATGTGTTTCTGACTTTCTGATATTGTTTCAGGTATTAGAAGATGCCAAGCGAGACGCATCGTTACACCATGCTGCCTGTAATATAGTGAAGCGTCCCGGTACAATGTACTATTTGTACGAGAGAGAATCTGGACAGAGTTACCTCAGCATTCTCTCCCCACAGGTAAGACAGAACTTTTACTGCAGCTGATTTTAATGAGTTTGAATATTTGAATAAATGCATTGTCATTATTTATTATTATTATTATTATTATTATTATTATTATTATTATTATTATTATTATTATTATTATTAATTGCTATGGCATTGTAGATTTTCTTTCAAGCTTTGTCAATAACATGCTCAGAGATAATGCTTTTTGTGATTATTATGGCCCTTATACTGAACTGAAGAGTGTTTTACTTATTTTTAGTCTGGTTGAAGCTTTTCTTTTGTGTTTTGTCAGATGTATTAGATTCTTTATGAAAATGTTGTTAGACTCCAAGGGTCCCCTGCATCATTTTTTTAGTCTTAGAAAGAGGAACAAACGTCAGTGAAAGTTTGCACAATTTATAATGTTTGTTGTGAGCTGCAAAGTCTGCTTTTTCAAATTTTTGGGATGATGGCTGGTTTTTTTTTTGTTGTTGCTGCTGCATCTCTTCAAATTAAGTGTGCAAAAGAGCAAAGTGTGCCATGCTTTGTTCTGTAGTATTTTGTAAAGAAGACTTTTATGCTATTTAGAGAAATCCTTACTCATTCATGTATTCCTAGTCTGATGATAAGATGTAATAGTTGAAAGGTAATTTTGTGAGAATTTTGGATGATGGACGTTGACGTGTAGGTTTACTTTTCATCCATGTTGTGAAATTTTTGTAAGGGGATGGTGAAGGAACTTCTCAAAACTCAGACATGAATCAAAAGCTTTAATGATTTTATGATTTCATGTGGGTGGTCGGCAAGCATTTTGGTGTGGTTTGCTCGGCTCCTTCTCTCCTATCCAACATCTGTCATCTTTATCTCTCCTTCATTTCTTTGAATGTCACTCGTGGGCACTTATAACCTGTTTATGTTGCAAGTGCCATAAAATGTAACTCAAAACTGATGATTTTATATTTTTTCCTCCAGGAATGGGGAGCCAGTTGTCCTCATGAATTCTTGGGCGCCTTCAGGCTGGAGTACGACCAGTCGTGGACACCCATCAAGGAAGTTGAGAAACGTGACACAGAGAATGCGATCATTGACAAGATCTACAACGCTAAGCTGGCCATCACGGCGGGTTCCACCACCGCAGATCTGCTGGGTTTCAGGAAGGTGGAAAGTTCCTCACAGATAGCAGATGTAACCGAAGTTCAGGGGGCAGAAGGAGATAGCTAGGGTTTTTTTAACAAAAGGTTTTTATAGTGACATGCAGTGGAGTCTTTCTAAAATAAACATAACTGTAATTGTAAGTATTTAACACCCCCATCAGCGCAATATAGGTGCATTAGCCTTTTCTGTCAGGGCTACTTCAGACTGAGTGTGAGAAAGCATCCTAGGAGACTGACAGCCAAACTTTTCAAAACAGAAATCAAACTCACACATTCTGCTTGCGTCGACATCTCATACGTTGCTTGAAATAAACTTGTATCGAATGGAATATTTCAACTACAGCTAAAATTGTCCAAGATGGCCACCCATTGTGAAGGAGAAAAAGCGGTTGTCCAAGACATTGGGCAGTGTCATTATTATATTATTAAAGAAAAAAACCCACAAAGTGGGAAGTGGTTATGTCTCCAGGTGGTTGTCTTGGACTGGTGGCTGTAAGAGCAGGTTTGACTGGTATGTGCCAAATGTTTCAACTGAAGTCCCCAAAATGGAATTGGATCAGTTGTCTTTTTGTAGGTGTTTATTATACTTGGACTCCTCTGTGTGTGCTTTTGTATAAATCATGTACAAAGACTTCATGGATTGTTGAATGGAGAAGGAATTGTGTGAGCCTGTGCATGATTGCTGAGGTATGGACGTGCTGTATTGAATGTAATGTGAATTTTGAATGACAAGCCCTTTTGCTATTTATATATCTGGAAATATCTGTGGCAGCAAGAAAGTGTGATTTCTGGTTTGTTTGTGTGAATAACTATTTGTATTATTGCTTTCATCCTATGATTATTGCATCTATTGAACGGATCAACTGGCGATGATCATGTGGATGCATAAGCCGTTAATGAATTGGGAAGACAAGTTTTTATGAATTTTTATGATCTGCACACTATTTAGTGAAACTTATTGATAGCAATCTGCTTTAAACGGTGTGACTGTCTCCTAATTAAATTGTATTGTAATTGGGTATGCACACAATGTGATTTATCAAAGTTACAAGTTTTATTGTGACCTTAAACCTATTTGTTTTAAAAATATTTTGAAGTGAGTTACTCTCCATGTCTATTTCAAGTCAGATAATGGCCAGCAGGCTGAAGCTCTTGACTCTGATAGAATACTATCAGGGCTTAAGTGCTAAAACCTTTATGGGATTTTTTAAATCTGCTCTTGGAACTGAGGAAGTAACGAGGTCCTCATAGCTCTTTGGTGCAAAATAGAGTAGCTTACATCATAGGAAGTGAAATTGTGTACTCCCTATGAAGACAGGTTACTGAGAATGTAATAGATGTTTTCGCGTCATTTTTCTTGTAATAATTACAAGAGCAATTGCTATATTTTAGACAGAGTAGGCTACCTTCTCCACCAAGCTCATCATTGGACTGGTTTTGTTGCCTTTGTTGACCCCAGGAAGTGAAGCTTTCCTGTCAGCAATGAACCCCCCCTCCCCCCCCCCTAAACAAACATGCCACAAAGTAATACCTTTTTGTTTGTGTGGTTATTTTTTCTCGTTGCCTAAGGGTTAAGGTGTTTGCTTTTCATTCAATAAGTCCGGGGTTCGAATCCGGATAGCAAGGGAAATTTTTCTTCTCTAAAACTGTCTCCTTTCACTTTCACATCCTTTCCGCAATGTTCTGTCATCTGCTTTTGTCTCCACTTTCTGCCCCTACCCCCTCACCTCCTTAGCCCCCTCCTCTGGGCTCCTGATTCTTTCTGCTGTTGCTCCTTGGCTCCTTCTTTCTTACTGCTGTCTTTCAGCCACTCTCCTGTTTTTATGGTTGGAAAGATCTACACCTAGCCTTCTAACACAAAGGCAAAAAATCTCGGAGGTCCCGTGTGCAAGTTGACGATGTTTACTGCTCACTTTCTTTGGATTTTCCCCAAAATATGGTGGCAAAGTGTTTTAATGTGTCCTGCGCGCTCATATGCAGTTGCGAGCGCCGTTAAACACTTACAAAAAAAAAAAAATGAAACCATTCATTTCAAGCAGAATCATAGCCCATACAATCTTTTCATTTGGAATGCCCAGAATTCTTTCTTCGAAAGAAAAATAAACAAGATTTAATTTAAGATAATATCAATAGCTTCATATGCCCCCAAATTGACGAGCACTTGATTCCACCTCGTTGTGACACATATAGTGCCTGTGGCAAGATCAGGCCCCTCTTGGGATTTTTGAACCCAGAACTTTACAGTTGAGTCTCCCACTGAATTACCACCTGACCAGGATCCACAAGGATACCCCCCCCCCCTCCTCCCCTGCCTTCCTGCTGTGTGACTGCAAGGATGATTCTGAAACTATCCCAAAACCTCTTTACCTGCCCTGTACTTAACGACCTGTGTAGTAGGCCCTACCTACCTATCTGCCTCCTCACATGTTGGAAATACTCTATACAGTGACAAAACACAACAGGTAAAAAACTGTAAATTCTTTGCCATATCGACAGGCCGAAGGGCTAGAACTCAGATGGCCTCTGGATCAGAAGAGTAAAGTCTACTTGAGAGTCTGAGAGCCTAATCACTATAGTGCGGTCAAAAATGCGTGGTGTGACTTATCCTCAAATATCTTTTTAACGGGTGAATCAATGTCACCCATACTTTGCACAGCAGTTTGTACCAATTTGTCTTAACTTAGTCATATTTTTAATAATTTTTCCACAACAATTGAGGCCAGATTAAAAAACTTTTCTTCATAAATTTATATAAAATACTACAAATCTCCATTACGTGTAAAATGGAATTGTTCACAGCACTCTCCACTTCTCACACAAATTTTGCATACTCAGTTCACCTACGTCACAGCTCACCAATGACCCGTTTTAGTGGGAAAACTAGTTACAAGAAATGAATTTTATAGTGAACACTTTTTTACACTAA